CTAGGCGGGGACTGAGAGGCTTGCTCACGGAGAACAGCCCCGAATGAGCTGAACCCGAAACATGCCCTGGGGGGCTCATCCTCCTGCATGGATCACACAGGATACTTGGAACTGGCACCAACTTCTGAGCCCTTATAAATTAAGGCGTTTACACTCTGATCGTGACTGTAATCCTGTGTGACACCTCCAGTGGATGTCAATAACATCTTACCCCTCCGACTAGCCCACAGGAACTGGTGGCCCACCCCTCTGCTCTTAGAGCCAGTTAACTTTGTACCTGTAGCCCACACACCCAAGCTTATCTGGGAGTCATGTGACATCTTTAAGCTATAAACAAATGGATAATTTCAGGTTTTTAAACTGGTAATTCAAAAGGGCTGAGTTACATACAGGATAATGACAAAAGGAAAAGGGGAGGCACAAACAGTCTTAGGGGCTGGCAATCGATTCTTCCCCGGCCACTATGAGCACATCCCACGGGACCGCACCACCACACCACCGACGAGGGCCAAGGCTCAGGCCCTGGGGTCAAGTCCTGGACTCAAAGGGCGGGGCCAGACAGGCCTCTTCCCATGCGAACCCCTGCCTGCCTAACTCGAATGTCACTGTGAGCTCAACCATGACTAAAGCAAATGTCCAAGGACACCCAAGTCCCTTGGTACAACAGAGTGGGAACCACTGGGCGCAGGTGGGGTGTCCCCAACCAGTGTCACACACTGCCCATTCTGAAACAGCGTGGGAGGCCGCAGTGACATCGCCCTTCCCAGCACCCTTCTCTGATTGGGACAGCCTCAGCACCCACCGTACTGTCATGCTCCAAGACTCGCTGACATTCTTATGCCAGTCCGTCTTTACTAACTTGGTTTTATTTTGGTCACTAACCTGTCTGTCATCCTCCTCTTAGCAGTTAATTTATGATCACCAATAAAACGTGTTTAACACATAAAGAATTTACGCAAAAAAAGTTTATGTAAAATAAATTATATAAATAAATTCTCAAGAAATGTTTTTGGCTCAATTTCCTTCCTTACAAATGTACAGCTGATGTTTTGTGAACAGGGCAATTTGCACTAATCTCACTTTACAGCCCCCGCACCCTCAACCTCCCAGGGAACATACCTCAGCCTCCCACTGCTGTGACTGACAACCTCTCACAAGTGAGCTGCTTCTCCCAGGCTTTGTTTCGCCACCCCTACCGAGCACATCACAGATATTTACCATATGTCATTTTAGTGACTGGGCTTGGGAACATTCATGAGGCTGATTTCTTTTTTCTTCTCCACAAAGCCCACCAGGACACAGTTGCATATTCTAGCTGTAGGTCCTTCTAGTTGTGGCATGTGGGACGCCGCCTCAGCAGGACCTGATGAGTGGTGCCATGTCCGCACCTAGGATCCGAACAGGCGAAACCCTGGGCCGCTGAAGGGGAGCATGTGAACTTAACCACTCGGCCACGGGGCCGACCCCCAGGAGGCCGATTTCTGACAATAATTCAATTATAATTGAAGCATAATCTTCTCCATTAAAATTAAGTACTCAACCTCTTACACGCAGGATTAGTCAAGTTTTCTAAGAATTATCAAATGTATAAACAGCATGAATTTATACTCTTTTTTAAGATCTAACTAAATCCCTTCATTAATTAATAGAGCCCATTTTTGGCCCATTTTAGCTCATTTGTTTCTCTGACTCAATTAGCCAGCTTAATCTTTGGACAATTACACCCCGCATCCTTTCAGTACTCACCAAAGACAGGAGCAACCTCAGACCACACTACCAAGGGAAGAGAAGAACAGGAACTAAGAAATAAGTTTTCTGGCACTGCTCTCAACAGTTAGCACTTCTTTCTAATTCACCTGGAGTTTGTGCCATGACAAATGGAACCGTCTAATTAAAACACTGAGATGAAATGATCCAGTGCCTTTGCAGTGTTATAAAGTGACGCTAAATTTGATATAAAATGGCATGTCAATTCATGCAAACCATTTGGAATTCTTAAGAAATAACCATTTTGAAGCCAGTGGTTCTTTAAAACTTCAGGCACTTAAACATTTTTATAAGAAGATAAGAACAATCTGTCTACTTGCAGCTCTGGACTCTTATCAGGAACTAGAATGACTCAATCTGAAGATGAGCCCACGGCCCCTCAGCACTCTGCATATTAATAACGCTTCTCTCACATGAACTAGCTGACTTGACAGTCTCTCCAGTTGAGCAAGTTGTTCTAGTCTTGGAGGAGGACACGGCAGGGAAACGGCTAATCCGATCCTCAGTGCGTCCGTAAATCTCACGGGGACGTTTAACAGATGCTGCCACGACAGGTCGACAGTAAATCTGATACAAGAGACAGTAATGGATTAGCTCTTTTTCCAACATTTACATACACAGCAATCACTTAAAGATGACTCCATCCGTCTCTGTATCATCTTCCACAACCACGTGCCAACTAAGGCAGCTCGACCCGACAGTCTCATAACATTGCAGCTGCTGGGGCAGACATTCCCAAGGACGGGGTCAGCAAAACAGATTTATTGCAAAATGTTTCCTCCTACTGAAATGGTAAAATAAAATGGGCCTGAATTACATAACCTCTTCTTCAAAACAAAATAAAATTTAAAATCAGAAAAATTTCCCTAAATTGTCCCAATCCTAACAACCTATGTTGTATGTCAAAATCATATTTGATAGAACAATCACTTTTAAACGTGGTTAAAATACTTTGCTCAAAGTCTTTGCTAAAGAAGAATGTTTTTCAGAAAGTGTATCATGTCGTAGCTAAGGAACTTAGACTCAGATACCAAAAAAAATCCGCATTTCCTCTTACAGATATTAACAATACTAATAAGCTCAAAATGTGATTCCTTTTTGTATGTTATTTTGGTGTCAGTCTGCGGTTTCCCCCACTGAAGTATATTTCACATTAATTATATCACGTTAAGAAACATGAATTAAAAAGATGACAATTTTTGTTTGCACGATAATCCAGACTCTCCCAATATTATCAAATGTTATATTACTTGGCTGACAGAGTTTAAACCAAACAAACATTAGCCCTAAAGTAGGCAGCCAGACCTGTGTGGGATTTACCCAAAATCCACATGGAAAAAGAGTAAGAACAATTAATTTTCTCTGAAATTGTTAGGAATGTGATTTTCAGTCAATACCCATTAGGATGAAATCAGTAGCATTCCTCTTTGTCTTCAAATTTAACGTGTAAAAAAACTAGCTGCCTTGACCCAGAAACTCCACTCCCAGGTATCAACCCTAGAAAAATGAAAACTCACAGGCACACAAAAACCTACACACAAACGTTCACGGCAGCACTATTCATAAGAGTCAAAACGTGGAGGGGTTGGCCCAGTGGCGCAGTGGTTAAGTGCGCACGTTCCGATTCAGAGGCCCGCGGTTCACTGGTTCGGATCCTGGGTGCGGACATGGCACCGCTTGGCAAGCCATGCTGTGGTAGGCATCCCACATATAAGGTAGAGGAAGATGGGCACAGATGTGAGCTCAGGGCCAGTCTTCCTCAGCAAAAAAAGGAGGGTTGGCAGCAGACGTTAGCTCAGGGCTAATCTTCCTCAAAAAAATAAATAAATATTTTTTAAAAAAAGAGAAAAAAAAAAGTGGAAAAAACCCAGTGTCCACCAACAGATGAACAGATAAACAAAATGTGGTCCATCTCTACAATGGAATATTATTCAGCCTTAAAAAGGAACGAAATACTGAGGCATGCTACAACATGGATGGCACTGAATGACTCCACGTATAGGAAATGTCCACAACAGGTATTCCACAGAGGCAGAAAGCACACGACCAGTTGCCAGGCGCTGGGAGGAGGGAGAATTGGGAGTGACTGCCATGGGGTTTCTTTTCTGGGTGCTGAAAACATTCTGGAATTAGACAGTGGTGACAGTTGCATAACCTTGTGAATATACCAAAACAACTGAAATGTATGCTTTAAAATGGTTAATTTTATGCTATGTAAATTAGATCTCAATTAAAAAAAAAGGTTGCCCCTAATTCTCTTCTCCCTCCCCTTACTCTACCATCCCAATCCTAGCAATGTATGTTAGAGGTGAAGGAAATTTTGAGAGAAACATTGCTTTCACTGTTTCAGGTATGATAACAAGTCTTTCTAAAAGGAAAATCTGTTCAGTAGAAAAATCTACATCGTGTTTTTAGGAAAAATCAATGACTCGGACATAGAAGCAGAAAAACCTCACAAGTTCTTACTAGTAAAGGCACGACAGGCTTTAGAGCTGGGTAACAGAAGGCGGAGTCTGTCTGAGTGCTCTCTTTTCTCTCCCTGCTGCAGGGGGTCCCGTTGGGAAGCACAGGGTACCCCTCACACGACGAAGGGGCCGTGCGGCAGGAATCCTGTGAAGGGCACGCCAGGCCGGCGCCCGGACCCAGGGCAGGAGACAGGAAGGGGCCGAACCCCAGTGCAGGTGAGAGGGGTTCACGCAGAGGCTGCCGGCCACGCAGCGCCCTCCAAATCTGTCGCAGGAGGCGGTGGCGTGACTCACGGTGTGAACGACCCACACGTGCAGTCACCTCTGAGAGTCTGCGTCGGGCCCTCATCAGAGACGAGGACAGACCTGTCCTCAAAGACAGAGAGCTGACTACTCGTCATACTGCTGGTTATAAAAGTGACAAGTGTCCATCACTGGAAAGCCTCCAGAACTTGACTAAGTCAGTGAAACTGACTGGAAACGATTATGTACATCCACATTAACGCGGAAAGATTTCTACTCTGCCGTGGAAAGGGGCAAGTTATAAAATCACAGACATGGCGTGCAAGTTAACACAGAAAAGGCCCAGAAGACTTAGAGTAGCCTCTGGAAGTGGAATTTTCCAGTTATTTTCACTTTCTTCATCATTTTTCCATTCTACCACTTTTTAAAAACATAAATTAAACATATATTACTTTTCTAAAAAGCGGGAAAAAGCCTGCAGCCCTGCCGCTCAGGCAGAGGAAAGGCAAGGCTTTGTGAGCGCACCTTCGGAGTTCAGGGTGATGAGGGTGACGTTGTTGCCGATGCTCTGACTTCCCGACTGGCCGCAGTTGGAGACGGAGTCGCTGGCCTCGGACCCGCTCTCCCCGTCCTCGTTGTGGCTGTCTTCTTGACCCGGCACCTTCACCACAATGGTATTCTGCCGACGCCCGGGAACCGCGCTGAGCAAAACAAAAACACCCGCCATGTAGTGAGAGCAACACGACCCACCGAGACCAGCCCTGAGCCGCTGCCATGCTCCTCCCTCTGTCACTGTCCAAGAACCTAACTCTGCACGGAGCAGTGGTCACAGCCCTCCACACAGCTCTTGCTACCAAGATGAATAGCAATTTAATAGCAGGAAATAGTCTTGGGTTGAAAGAAACTGTATGAAATTTAAAATGTTTGAAACAATGTTTACATCACAAAAGCAAAATCCCAACTGGCTGTGACTCAAGGCTGCTTTCCGACCACGGAGGCGCCCTGCCAGCACTGATGTCTGGGTCACAGTCCCTCTCAGGCCACGTCACAGGAAAGATCGCGTGAGACAAAGGGTGCCTTACACTGAACCCATGCGCTCCACACCAACAGACCTTCCAGAAACGACTCAGCCATGGAAAATGCGCTTATCGCTCCCAACTACTCCCACTGACAGAAACCACCGCAGTGGGCTTAAAAAGACAGTCGAGAACCTCCTAGGGGATATTCTCACCACCACAAGGGACCCTGATACGGAACAATAAGATACCCAGAAAACAGGACACAAGCCAGCTCCAAAAAGTGCTCAAAAAAGATCATCTGGAGACCACCACGTGGCTTGCTAGGGACCCTTTCAACTTCCCTTCACACTGAGACCTGAACACTGAAGACAGCTACACACTGAGAACGGGGACAGAGGCACAAGTTCCCCGTGGATGGCATCAAGATGGGACTCCAATCCTGGCATGCTGGAGGAGGGAGCTGCACTCTGCGGCCTTGTCCAAGCTGACCATGCTCCTGAAGCTCAGGACCCGACGGCCGACCTGCCCCGGCCGCTTCCTCCCCTCCGACACAGCCTCTGCCTCCGGGCATCCAGACGCCAGGCGTCACCATGGGTCCTCCCTACGCCCCACACGACAGCCCTCAGCTCCCGGCCGGGCTCCTGGAGACCTGGGCTATGATAACAAAGAAAACAGGACACACCTGCAGGAGGGGCAGCCTGCAGGAGCCTGAGAGAAAGGCAAACGGAACTGTGTGAAGACATGAGAGGAGCCAAAGTTCCACTGGCGCCCCTGGGTGGGGCAGCTCTCACGGCAGCTGGCAGGCCAGGGGGAGGGCGGACCTTGCTGCCACCACGCTGGGTGAAACACCTTTCATGCACTCCCATTTCACCACGGTTCCATTCCAAGTGTGTAAGAAGAGAAAGGTGTGAGAAAAAAGCCATCACCTCGAAATGCCTCCATCACTCAGCATACGTAGAGGGTATGTGTTGACTGGACATGCTGCCGTGCAGACAGACAGACAGATGGGCGTGAGCAGTGAACAGTGAGAGGATCTAAGAACTCCACTGACGGTCGTGAAAACAAAGCACCTTCCCAATGAGACACGTGAGCACCAGACACATGTGCCCGGCACGCTGTGTCCCCCCTAACCTTGCGCCCCCACTGGCCTGGCCATCCACACTTGGCCCACACTCTCCCCGACACTGAGCACAGTGGCTCTGCCCATCCCCTCGGCTGGTGTGAGGACAGAAACGACCGACGGGGCCAGCTCGCAATGCGGACTTGTTGTTGAGGGGACGCATCATGGTGGTGGTGGCAGTGAAAGGTGGGGTTGGTGTTGTGGCTACTGACTTGCTAATGATATTTTCCAGGGAATCCGGCGCCCTGTTGCTCAAGGGGTCGTCCATCTTGGCTACAATGGTGTTCTGCCGATCACTGTTGAGTATTACTGTAGTCTGGGGGACGACGCTAGGGAACAAAAGAATCACAAAGAGAGAGAAGACCTTAAAACAACAACGTTCATTGTAAGAGCACATAAGAGTAATTCAACAGTTGCTCCCAGTGGCCTGCACTAAGGGAGGGAGGTGGCCCCACGCAGAAATCACATTTACAGGAATCTACAACTTACAATGGGCAAAAATAAACCAGAGATGAGGACGTCCTTAATGGAGGAGGTAACTTTCCACATTGTTGTATTCTCAGTTTGCACAACTGGGTAATATGGGAAAGCTGAGTCAGGAATATTTAAATCTTTCTTTAGAATAGATCGAGAAGTCACAAGTTGCTGTTAGGCAGTTAATAAGGCTTCTGAAGGAGCACGTTTACAGGAAAAAGAGCTGATTATTTTCACTCATTCCATCCCAACAAATTCATACAGGACACTTCTAGGCTTTCATAATCATGATACTTAGTGATATTATTCCAAAATGTCAGTGCTCTGGAAAGAAACGGTGACTCTAACATAGGGACAGTGGGCTGAACCACAGACATTGCCACCTCCAGGCTCCGCAGGGAAAGTGTGTGAACTGCAACCATAGGGCCTTGGGAGTTTGCTCTGAAGGGAGATGGTTACAGCAAGAACAGAGCCCTGACCGACCTCCCCAGGGAGCACTGCATGTCTACCACACAGCAGCCACAGCTCCTCTCGGGCACCCACTCACTGAGATCTGCAGTCTTTCCTCTCGACCCTGGGCACTTACGGCCACAGGAAATCTCCGAGTGTGCTTTCTTGTGGAGGGAAGAGTGCGAAAAGAAGGCGCACTTGAAAGGCACAGTAATATTACCTGAAAAGAATGCTATCCCTGGATTTCATTCTCCAAAAAACAACTCGGGGGAAAATATCGCTTTTATGTGAGAAGACGTCATGTAACAAAAGCACACATGAAAGTCTAGCCCGGTACCACAGCCACAGGGCTGTCAAACGCCCCCTCCCAAAATCGGGGCACAAATGGCACCATTTCATGCTCAAATAAATCATAGGACCACAAGGTGTTTCTCTAAAATAAAGTGCATTTCGCCCAAAGGTGTTAGTATTTTTTTCAATTATTCTATTTGTTCGTTGGTGATACCAAAGTAACCCACCAAATCCTGATGACCTATCCATAGGTCAGGCATCAGAAGTAACCCAGGTGATCTTGGACTTACACTGTGGCACACACAGTCTTCGACGATTCATGCTTCTCGTAGATCAAAACACCGACAAAAAGGGTTTGTAGGAGTTTGGTATTTTCCCAAAGCGTATTCTGTGCAACACCAGTGTCTCCCAGGATCCCCGCACACATCCCTTCCCATTCCCTCTCACCCATGAGCAGCTAAAGGACGATCCTGCTGAGGAGACAACCACTCCCTACTGGAAATCCCAACGGACGCTAGCACACCAAAGGTTCGAGAAGTCCTACCAGAAGCAGACTAAAATGTATTCATGCCACCATCGCACAAAGCTGTTTGACTAAATATACGTCTTCCCCCTAAAGATCCTTACTAACGAAGATGAAGGAAATGACATTCTGAGGCAAGCAGCTTCAAGCTGGAATAACTGCAGCCCTTGAGGCACCCCCAGGCTTCCAAGGGGTGGACAGCTCTCGGCAGATCGACGTCCAGATCCTCACCTTGCAGAATGTACTATTTCCTAAAAATGATTCTCCTTGAGAAAACACCTCTGTCTACGTGTTTATTCCCTTCCACAAAGCCTTTTCCCACTTAAAAAAAAAATTACCTCTAAATCCAATTATACCAAGGTGCACTGTCCATCCAGGATGCGCAAACTATAGAGGCAAACCCAGGTGCAGTCTGCAGCCGGCCCAGGTGCGAGAAAGCAAACGCCTCTGCCGACCAAGAGGGAAACTCTTTGGTGAATCACTGGTTTACAACTCTTAGCTTTCAAAAGAACTGACGGAGGACCTAGTTTTCAGCTCACAGATCATCAAAATTAATTTTGATGATAGGCCACGAAGATTTTTGGCACAAAACTTGAAGAACTGAGGAACCCCTTCCTCTCTCACATACTCTTTTATGGGAATAAAGTTTCTCAGGAGTTAAAACTGTAAAAACTAAAAACAGAAATGGAGCCAATACTGAACCCTACCCCATTTGAAGCAATGTCATAATCATCCATGGATTCAGGAATTAACTAAAAGTCAATCCCATCCATCTCAAGAATACACTCCCGATACCAGATCATTAAGAGTTAGTTATAAACGAGTAACGCCTTTATATTGTTCAGTTCAACTGTGCACTGACAACTGTAACGAGAACCCAATTTGGAAGGTTATTTTTTTAACCCTTGGGGCCTTAGAGGAAATAAGTTTTTCAACTTCCATTTCTATCCATATTTCTGCTGCAAAGGAGTATGACAGCCTGGTTGATAGGATAAAATTTTGAGGGGGAAAAGAATCAAGAATGAAAGTTCAAAAAGCAAAAGTAACAACGTAAAACGACTGTCAAAAGCTTATCCACAAGATATTCTAAATGGATGATGGTATTTAGATTACAATGAAAACACTTAAGAGTGTAATAAATCAGTTGTATTTTTAAATATCAATATTACAGTATGCCAGAAATTATACTCTTTCAACGAATGTAATTTATGTAAACATCAAATTGTACAAAAGAATATTTCATTTTTCAAAAATTATGGAATGTCCACATCACATTAAGAAGAATGCAGGGTTGATATGGAAAAACTGTCACAATAACATTAAGTGTCTTGCTTAGGCTGAATTACAGCCCCCAGCTACCCGATCAGACACTAATCTGGGTGCCGCGGTGAAGGGGTTTTACAGATATGATTAACGGTCCTAACTGGTTGGCATTAAGCTAATCAAAAGGGAGATTATCCTAGGTGGGCCTGGCCTGATCAGGTGAGCCCTTTAAAAGGAGTTTTAGGCTTTCCCTCATCTTGGAGACTCCAAACAGCTCCTGCCAGCTGACTGCCATCTACCCTTCCAGTCCACCTGCTCTACAGACAATAAGAGGGGGTGGGAGCAATCCTCAGTTTATAAATCAGATACCCCGAGATCCTCAAGCCCAAGAAAGGCACACGGGCTGGGGTCCACCAGGAGCCACTAGGCAGCCAGGTTACATTTCCAGGTCTCCTTCTGTGCACACACAGCCCTGGGACAGGTGCTCACGGACGCGATGTGATCCAGGGAGAGGGGTGCCACTCCCAGGTCAGCGTTCTTAAGAATAACAAGTGCCTTCTCCAGTCTCTTCCTTCCCAGACTGACCCAGACGCCTTAGGGGACGGCAGAGCACAGATGGAAGGCACCAGCATCAGAGCCACATGAGGAGAGCTGTGGGAAGCCCAGAAACGCCCACCGCACACCCCGAGCATCAGCAGGAGGCCAGCTTCAGCTGTGTCGGCACAAGCTCAGGGACTCTTCACTGCAGCAGCGCACGCCAGCAATCAGCACACCAAGCACTCCAAGGAAACGTTTACTAAAACTTGTCGTAAAGGCTCTATTTCTATTGCTTACAGGTTAAAGATTAGAAAGTCATAAAAACCAGGATCCAAAATAATACTCTTAGGGATCAGAATAAATTAGCATTAAAAATTTCTTTCCAATGTCTAATGAGATGAGCAAAACATAGTATAAAACCAACCCCCTCAAAATAACCAACTGCACAGGAAACAGGAAAACCTACTGCAACAAACTTCAAAACAAGCTGCTTAAGAAAGAAGGTTCTGGAGCAGACAGGCTCTGGAGGCTCAGGTTGTGAGCCTGCACCCCACCCCGCCCCACTGAGGCCATGCTTCTACACTGTCAACATTCTGTGACTGAAAACCAACAGCCCCAAATCAGAAGATGAGCACGTGGGCTAGGAATGCATGTTTGTCCTTCTTCTTTCCAGGGAGTGACAGAAATGACTACAAATGAGAATGGGAGAGCTGACTCGCGGTGGGGGGGGGGGGGGGGGGGGGAGGGGGGGGGGGGGGGGGGGGACAGGCGATGACACCCACGGGCACTGAGCCCTGCAGCGGGACCCTGGACACTCAGGAGACACCAGGGCCCAGATCTTGGTCTCCAATAAAAGGAGAAACGCCCGACTCTAGGACTGGGGCAGGGAGCAACACGATGAGCCTGGAGCATCTTGTGGTGCCAGAAAGTAAGGGAGTGCTCAAAACAAAGAAAAAACCCACAATGATTTGGGGGGAGGGGTCAAAGGACACGAGTCAACAGAGGGAGCCCTAGTGGCCAAAGACAGAATAATTCAAGCAACAAAATAAAGTAATATTGGATTCCAACTCAAAGCATACAATCAGCATGCACGAGTCCATACTGATATAAATGACTGACTAACTAATACACGGGGAAGAAGAGACAAATCTCCCGTGCAGAAGAATAACAAGTCACGTGAGCAGATGCTCTGCCTCCCAGGTGCAGCGTGACTCCCCGCCCCAAGAGTGGGGGGTAGCCTAGTGCCATCCTTCCCAAGAGCACGGACGGAAGGGGTGGGAGAGGACAGCATTGCACAGTGGAAGAGCCGGGCAGACACCCCTTGGCCCAGTGACCCACATCAACACAGCAGTGAGAGGCCACGGTGACAGCGCACACCCCTGGGAAGAGGCGATGAGAAGGGCGCTTCACTCCTGGGTCCCCCTGCCCAACCCAGAGCCCCAGCCTAACCGTGAGAGAAGCATCAGACAGATCCCAACTGAGGGACAGCCTATAATCACCTGACCAGCACTCCTACAAAGTCACAAAACAAGGAATGTCTGAGGGAGTATCACAGACCAGAGGACCAACAGACATTTAAAAGGATACACGAAACATTATGAAAAGTATTATGCTAATAAATTCCAGAGCTTAGGTGAAAAGGAAAAACCCTTTGAGACTCAAGGTAAACAACACTGACTCAAGAAGTTCCACGTTACTAAAGTTCTATATTTATTAAAGAAATTGAATTCATAATTAAAACTAGGCCCAGATAGATGGCTTCACTGGCAAATTCTGTCACATATTTAAGAA